GGGCGCGCCCGGCGCGCGGCCCCCTCGGCGCGCGGCCCCCCGCTCTGCAGGATGATCTGCCACGTCTTCCACTGCCAGGACGTGAGCGCGGGCTCCGGGGGTCCCGGGGACGCGGGGGTCGGGCCGGGTAGTCCGGTCCCTCCTGGGGGAATAGGACTGGGGGGGGCCCCCCCGTCTCTCCCCCTGTGGACCCCCAAGACGGCGGCTGGTTTCCCGGGCCTGTGGCTCCTGGGGATCAGAGGGCTCAGCTCTGAGGCTGTCGGGGGGCTGGCCCGGGGGAGGGGGAGGGGGCGGGGCGGGCCCCCCCGGAGAGACTGCGCGTCCCCCAGGCCCAGCTCGTCGCTCAGGCCATCGGCCAGGCCTTCGCCGTGGCCTACAGCCAGTTCCTGCGGGACAGCGGCATCGACCCCAGCCGGGCGGGCGCCCCGCAGAGCCAGGCCGCGGGCCCGGGCCACCTCCACAACGGGGACCTGGACCACTTCTCCAACAGCGACAACTGCAGGGAGGTGAGCGGCCGGCCCCCACGCCGGCCCCCGCCGAGCGGCCCTCGGGCCCACCTGTGTGCCCCCGGGGGGGTAAATGCACCCCGCGCCCGCCCGCGTCCCCCCCGGGGGGGTAAATGCACCCCGCGCCGCCCGCGTCCCCCCCGGGGGGGTAAATGGACCCCGCGCCCGCCCGCGCCCCCCCCGGGTGCATGGACCGCGTGCCCGCGCCTGCCTGCATTCCCATGTGGTGCGAGGACCCCACGCCCGCCCGCGTCCCCCCGGGGTGCATGGAGCCCGCGCCCGCCCGCGTCCCCCCAGGGTGTGGGGACCCATGGCCGCCGTGTCCCCCAGGTGTGCATCGAGAAGCGCCGGGGCGAGGGCCTGGGCGTGGCGCTGGTGGAGTCGGGCTGGGGGTCCCTGCTGCCCACGGCCGTGATCGCCAACCTGCTGCACGGCGGCCCGGCCGAGCGCTCCGGGGCCCTCAGCATCGGGGACCGCCTGACCGCCATCAACGGGACCAGCCTGGTGGGGCTGCCCCTGGCCGCCTGCCAGGCCGCCGTCCGCGTGAGTCCGCCGGGGGCCGCCCCGGGCCCCAGATGGCCGGCCGCCTCCCCACGCTCCCGTGGAGGTCCCTTCCTGGCCAGAAGGGCCGGCGCGGAACACTGAGTCCCACCCGCGCGTGCACTTAGGGGAAACTGAGGCCCAGGGATGGGGTGGGCCTGGCCGGGTCGGGACAGGTCAGACAGGGTCCACGCAGCGTGTAACTGACGGTGTCCAACCTTTCCTGGTGGATGCTTCTAGAAACTTGCTTTTGATCACAAGGAAACTGAGGCCCAGGGAGGGGCGGGGTCACACAGCCCTCACCCCGAGGCCACCCGCTCGAGGCTGCTCTGAACCGCTTCTCAAGGGGCCTTCCAGAATCCAGACCTCCGTCTTATGGGAGGGTAAACTGAGGCCAGCTAGGCCAGCGGCCCCGTCCCTCCCGCAGGAGGTGAAGTCGCAGACGCTGGTGACCCTCAGCATCGTCCACTGCCCGCCGGTGACCACAGCCATCATTCGCCGGCTGCACGCCCGCGAGCAGCTGGGTTTCTGCGTGGAGGACGGCATCGTGAGGCCCGGGGGACCAGGGGGCCGGTGGGCCGAGGGGGTGGCCCTGAGCACAGCCCCTGAGCAGCCAGCCCGCCCTGTCCCCCCAGATCTGCAGCCTGCTCCGTGGGGGTATCGCCGAGCGTGGGGGCGTCCGCGTGGGCCACCGCATCATCGAGATCAACGGGCAGAGTGTGGTGGCCACGCCGCACGCCCGCATCATCGAGCTGCTCACCGAGGCCCACGTCGAGGTGCGGGCCGCCGGGGGACTCTGGGGGGGGGCCCTCCCGCTGCCAGGCCCGGCCCGAGCCGCCCCCTCTCCCCCCAGGTCCACATCAAGACCATGCCGGCTGCCACCTACCGCCTGCTCACGGGCCAGGAGCAGCCCGTGTACCTCTGACGGCCGCCGTCGCCCCGCTGCCGTGCCTTAGCCCCCCGGCTCTGGAACTTTCTGTGGCCGGCTGGGGCCCCAAGGATTCTCAGCCCTCAGTTATTTTCTGTACAGAATTAAAAGTTTATCGAACGGGTAAGGTCTCAGGTTGGGGTCTGTGGGGTCGACAAGGAAGGCAGGACCCGACTCGGGCTCCTTGTCTTCCCTGGAAGCCACTAGAAGCCAGTGCTGTGAAAATACTCTGTTTATTAAAGACCAAGCGGAAGAAGGCAGGGGTCCAAGAGAAATCAAGGCCCGGCTCCAGGGAGGAAAAGGGAGGGCGGGCCAGCTGGGAGGGGTCACAGGTCGGTGGCCGGGCCCCAAGTGTAGGCGTCTTCGTCAGAGGAGTCCATATCTCGGGCTCGGGTAAACTTCTTCCTCAGAGCTTCCTGCCCGTACGTCCTGGGGATCAGGAAGTAGAAGAGAGGCTGCAGGTGGGAGGGCGTGAACTTCCCTACCATTAACTGAGGCTGGCTCTGTGAGGCACAGTGGGTGTAAAAGCAAAACTGGGCACTTGGGGGTTGGGCCTGGTTAACGAACTCCCACACATCCTTCAAAGCCCCAGCTTCAATGTCCTGTTCTTCAGGAAGCCTTCCCAGTTCTCCCAGGAAGAGGATTCCTACTCCCGTGGCCCTGACTACACAGGGCCTAGAGTGGCTCTGTCTGGCTGTGTCTCGCCTGCTAGGCCGGGAGCACCATGAAGGCTTGGCCTGGTTCTAGGGCTCTTCCCCACCCCCAAAGCCTGAGTCCCAGGGAGATGGTTTCCAGGCCTCAGTCTGGAGCACAGGGCTCTTACCGCACGCTGTCCTGTCGCCACTGGCCGTGCAGGTGGTGGCCGTCCACCTTGGGGTGGGAGAAACGAGGTCACATTCCCACAGAAGGATGATAAATGGGGATGAACAACACCCCCCACACCTGTGCCCGGCAAGTGCTGCCCCAAGGCTGTTTGCAGCCCATCCCCACTCTTAAGTGAGACAACTTGAGAGTTGTCCAACAGGTGGGGACGGGGTGGGGAGGCCTTGACTGAGATCTAGCCTGTCAGTAAAGCCAGAATTGGGTTCCTGTCTGGAAAGTTCCTCAGATGGCTGTTGTCAGGAGCCCATAAATGAGTTCGTGTGTGTGAAGGCTGCCGTGGACAGTTGAGCAGGTTGGGCACTGCACAGCCCAGGAGCACCATTCTCACCGGAGACGTTTGTACATTTTGACATTGACCCGTGCCTTTCTCGAATTCACAGACGGGCACTGGGGGGCCGAGGCAGCCCATGCACAAGTGCCAAATATTTAAGTTGTTCGGTGACTCAGAGGCTCAGATGCTCTCAGGCCGGGCCCCAGATTCTGATGTGATCACAGAAGCTTCTGGTCGTTGGCATGTGGCAGAAAGCGGGCTCCCTGGGTGTCGCTGCCCCGTCCCAGACCCTTGGTGGGGCCGCCCCCCGTGCCCTGCTCACCTGAGCCCCCCAGTGACCCAGGGACCTCCCATGATCCCGCGGGCTCTGGGGCTCGTCCTCCAGCACGGGCTCCGAGGACCGGGCCAGGGCGGGCGCCGGGGGCTCCTCGTCCACGTCCGTGTGGGGCCCGCCCTCGCCGTCTGTGTAGACGCCGCCGTCGTCCGTGTAGACGCCGCCCTCACCGTCCGTCTCGTAGTCGCTGTTGACCCGGCTGTCGCAGCTCAGGTCCGCGGAGCTGTCCCCCAGGCCGCGGTGCGGGAGGTCCAGGTTGGTGTCCGAGGAGCCGTCCAGCTGCGGGCGGGTGGGTGGGCCTGGCTGAGCCGAGCCCCCCAGCCCGGGGCCCGCACCCCGATCTCAGAGCAGCCCCCGACCCCGGATGCCGCCCTTCAAACCCCCGACCCGAACCAGGCACAGACCCTGATCCTTTGGACCCTCAAGCTCAAGTCGAGGCTTAACCCTTGACCCCAGCAGGAGTCTGACCCTTGACCTTGCTTAGCTCACAGCCGAGCCCAGGACAAGACCCCAGTCCCCAAACCGACTCCCCCAGTAGCATCTCACCCGGGTACCAGGTCAGGACCCTACTCCCAGGTCACATCTTGCCCTTGGCCCTGACCCCTGACCCCTGACCCCTGACCCCGCCCTGCTGGCAGGCGGAGGCCCCCACCGGCCCGCACCTGGTCCTCCGCCGTCCAGATGGGCCGTGTCTGCTGCTCGCGGATGACGGCCTTGAGTTCCTGGAACCAGGCGTCGCTCGTGCCGTGCAGCGGGATGGTGGCTGCGGGGCGGGGACATCAGTGTGGCCGAGGGACCCAGGCCTGACCCCCGCACCGCCCACCCCGGGCCCCCAGCCCCCGCCCCACCTGTGAAGAGGTGGTCGCTGTGCTTCCGCAGCTTCTGCGCCTGCGCGTAGAGGCGGCGTGTGCTGCGGCGAGAGGCGGGCGCCAGCCACTGGCGCAGCGCCTTGAGGGCCTGCCGGCTCTCGGGGGCGCAGAAGACCACGATGGGGTAGTACTGCACGTAGTTGAGGCGCTCAATGGCCGACGGGGTCACGTCCAGGAGCGCGTGCTTGTCCTGCGCGGGCCAGAAGAGACACGTGAGGAATCGGAGAGAGACGGGGATGAAGAGTCTGTGGTCACAGTGGACCACAGCCTCTTGCGCACCAGAGCCTCAGTCTGAGCCTCTCTGCCCTTTCCCAGGGCTTAGGACTCCAGGGGGGTTCTGTCCCTCTCAAGTCCCCCACATCACAAAGCCTCCAAGAGGGGACTCTACACTTCCAGGGCGTGCGGCGAGAACAGGTTAGAGGCCTGGGCCTCTGTTTCCCCACTTGTGAAATGGGCCCCACGGCAGGCCCTGCTTACCCTCTCAGCGATCACCCGCACGGTGTCCAGCTTGATGATCTTGGAGGGACTCTCGGTCCTGGACACACTCTCTGTGGAGGGAGAGGTGACTGGCAGCTTCAGGAGGGCGGCCCCGCGGGCCCTCACATTCGTGTCTGCCTGCCCCTCCCCTGCTCAGGAACCCACCGTGGCTCCCCAGTGCCCTGAGAGAATGCCCGGCGCCGCACTCAGGGTCCCCTCCTCCTGAGGAGGGGCGGCTGTCACTGGCCCATCTGGCAGATGGGGAGACTGAGTCTCGGGGACATAAGGTCGCCTGCTCAGGGGGCCTGATGCAGAGTCTGCTCCAGCCACCCGCTCTCCCAGGCTCGGCCCAACTCCGGGCCTTTGCTCGGCTGTGACCTGGAGGAAGCTGCTCTCCTGTCCCCCATCCGTCCTCCAGGACCTGAGATGGCGCCGCTTCCTCCAGGAAGCCCTCCTCACAGCTCTGCCCTGGGGGGCCTACAACGGAGGGGGGCACAACCTCGCTTTTTTTTTACATTGTGATAAAATGCACATAACATAAAATTCACCATTGTAACCATTTTAAGCGCACAGCTCAGCGGCATGAAGCACATTCACAGTGTCGTGCAACCACCCCCACCATCCGTCTCCAGAACTTTCCATCTTCCCAAACTGAGACTCTGTCCCCATGAAACACTGACTCCCCTCCCCTCCCCCAGCCCCTGGCCCCATCGTCTACTCTCTGTCTCTGTGGATGTGACTCCTCTAGGGGCCTCCTGTGAGGGGATCACACAGTGTCTGTCCTTCTGTGTCTGGCTCATGTCGCTGAGCATCATGTCCTCCAGGTCCATCCACGTTGGAGCAGGTGTCAGAATCTCCTTCCTTTTCATGGCTGCGTAATATTCCAGCGTGTGGATGGCCCACCTCGTGTTTATCCCTCATCCGTCCATGGACACTGGGTTGCTTCTGCTTTCGACTGTTGTGACTCCTGCTGCTGTGAATATTCTTGTAGAAGCTTCTGATCCAGTTGCCGCTTTGAATTCCTCTGGGTCTACACCCAGGAGAGGGTATAGACCAGGTGGTGAGTCCGTGTTTCATTTTTTGAGGAGCCGTCCTCTGTCTTCCCAGCGGCTGCCGCTCACCTTACAAGGTCCCTGTGCTCCCCGTCCTCGCCGACACTGTACTTTTCCCCGTGGCCACCCCGTCCCACCATGTGTGACGTGGCCTCTGACTGGATTCGGTGTGCACGTCCCCGGTGACCATGACGCGGGCCCTGCCCCCGGCCCCCTCCCAGGAGCCGACGCCCCCTCGTCTCCTTCCCACACCCCCTGTCTCTCCCTGCTGCTTTGGGAGAAGCCCCCTCAGGCGGCTGAGCCCCCCGGGAAGAAGAGAGCAAAGGAGACGGGGTCACCTCCCGGGACCCTCAGTGACGAGCCACTGCATCTCCCGCCCCTCGCACTCCCTCCCTCGTTCCTCCCGCCACGCGCAACCAACCCCACTCAATAGAGGAGGACATGAGGCTCAGAGAGGGCAAGCCACCAGCTCGGGGTCACCCAGCCACGAGGGGCAGGAAGGGAGCTAAACGCCAATCTGCCTGGCCCCTGGCATTGCCTCGAGCGGACAGATGCCCACCGAGTGCGAGTATCACTGCTCTCTCTCCCCCGCTCACAGCCTTCCGTGGCTCCCCAGTGCCCTCAGAGCCAAACTCGACTCCTCGCAGAGCCCCCGACGGGCTGTGCCACCGCCCCTCTTACCGTCTGTCCTCGTCCCCCACCCCCCCATCTTTTGCCACCTTTCGGTCCCTGGGATATGGGAGCCTGTCCCGGCCTCAGGGACTCAGCACTCGCTGTCCCTCTGCCTGGAACCCTGTCTCTGGCTCCTTCTCAAACTCAAGGCCTCGCTTCCATGTCGCCTCCTCAGAGGGGCCTCCTCGGACCACCCCAGCGAAACGCCCCCCCACCCCCCTTCTCAGCCTCTTCTGTCTCGCACGCCCCACTTGGCTCAGGGCCCTGCACCCCCGTTCTGTAAAGGACCACAGAGTCAACGTTCGGCTTTGGGGGTCTCTGTCCTGACTACTCGACTCTGCTGTTGGGGCTGGAAAGCAGCCACCGACACTCCGTCCACCAAGGGGGGGAGCCGTGTCTCGATAAAACTTTATTTATAGACGCTGAAAGTCGAATTCCATGTTCCTTTCATGTGTCGCGGAATATTTTATTTGAACTTCTTTTCACCCACTGCAAGTGTGTAAACACCATTCTTAGTTAGCGGGCTGTACAAGAGCAGCCGGAGGGCCAGATTTGCCCCCAGAGCTGTAATTTATTGACCCCTCCTCTAAATGAATTGTTTTTGTAGTTGTGAACTTTGGTCTCCTCAGGGGACCTTGTTTGTCTTGTTCGATGCTGTGTCTGTCGCTTAGTAAACATCTTTTGGACAAGAGAAGGAACGGGTGGTACATTGGCTCAATTGGCAATGGCTGCCTGGGGAACTGTGTTAAGAAGGATTCTGAGGGTCTGTCTAGACAGTGCCAAGATGGATTGAGGATGTCTGGACCGGGCATCGGAGGGCGGCTCCCCTGCCTCATGTTTGCCACGGTTGTTTGAACTCTTCTCCCCAAACAGCATCATTAGCAGCCCGCTCCTCAAGCTGCCTCAGCCCCAGTGGCTCGGAAAGGGCTGTGAAATGATTCACCAACAAGGTAGCCGTGGGACCCGGTCTCTCACCTGCGATTTCAAACTGGTCCGGCATCTCGGCTGTCAACTTCTGCATCGCGATGTCTGCCACGGGTCCCAGGATCACCACCGGGCGCTTGAACCTGGCTGAGGGGCAGAGAGACAATGACAAGAATCAGGCTCCCATTTGTAGCAAAGACGGTTAGCATCTTGCCCGTGGCTGCCCAGCTAAAGACTACATTTCCCAGCATCCCTTGCAGCTAGGGATGGCCATGTGACTAAGTTCTGGCCAATGGGGTGCAAGCAGAATTGATGTATGCAATCCTGGGTTGTATCCTTCAAGGAAAGGGGCGAGCCCTCTTCGCCTTCTTTCCCCTTCCTGCCGGCTGGGATGTGGATGTGGGTGCGCCACCGGGGACCACACAGTAAGGCAGACAAGACAGAAGGAGCCTGGGTCCCTGAAACTGTGAACCAGCCAGACCACCCTCAGCTGCTTACCCTGGGACTGTTACCAGAAAAAGAAACTTTTTTGTTTATGCAGCTGTCACTTGGGGTCTGTGATAGCAACTGAGCCCAGCTAACTCAGCGCTCAGCAGACTACAACCCGCGGGCCACACCGGCCCTCTGCCTGTTTTTGTAAATAAAGCTTTATTGGCACCCAGTCACGTCCATTTGCTTATGTACTGTCTCTGGCTGCCTCCGTGCAGAGTTGAGGAGTTTCAACAGATACCAGCTGGCCCACAAAGCCGAAAATAGTGACTGTCTGGCCCTTTGCAGGAAGAGTTTGCCGACCCCTGGCCTAACTGATATACCCTTCTACCCACGAGGGAATGGGTGCAGAGGGCATCTTGGCCAGAGGAGAGGGAGCAGTCTCCTCTATGCATCTTCCCTTTTTCTCCTCTCCTTCTAGGCCTCTCTCTCACAGCTCGATATATCCAGATTTCTAAACTCTCCTTGGCTGGGGTGGAAATTAAACACACAGCCTTTTATTTATTTATTTATTTTTTGTGAGGAGATCAGCCCTGAGCTAACATCTGCCAACCCTCCTCTTTTTTTTTTTTGCTGAGGAAGACTGGCCCTGGGCTAACATCTGTGCCTATCTTCCTCCACTTTATATGGGACGCCGCCACAGCATGGCCTGACAAGCGGTGCGTTGGTGCACGCCCGGGATCCAAACCCGTGAACCCCACGCCGCTGCAGTGGAGCGCGCACACTTAACCGCTTGCGCCACTGGGCCGGCCCCTGGCCTTGTATTTTTAAGTCTTTTTCGTCTGGACGTTGGGGGAGTAGCTGAAGAGTAGCCCAGCCCTTCCCCGTCCCAGTTTTTCCGCAGTTTCTTGTCAAAGGCCACCTTCTGCACCTGGCTTTAATCCCCTCTCCCCCAGGCTGAGGCTGTGGGCGAAGCGCTTAATCTCTTCGCTTCCTGAAACCTAGACGAGGCTGCTCCCCGTCACTGCCCACCGTGCTCAGGGAAGGGATCTATGTGCTGGTTTTGTTTTTAAATTGTGGTAAAATACACATACATGAAATTTACTTTTTTCACCTGTACGTTACCAAGTGTACAATTCAACGGCATTTAGTGCATTCAGAATGTTGTGCAGCCATCACCACTAGTTCTAGAACATTCCACAGCCCCCCAAAAAACCCCATCTCCGTCACTAGTCATTCCGCATCCCCTCCTCAGCCCCTGACAACCATGAACCCACTCTCTGTCTGTGGATGTGCCTCTTCTGGACATTTCACGTCAATGGGATCACACACCGTGTGTCCTTCAGTGTCTGGTTCTCACTGAGCATCGTGTGTTCAAGGTCCACCCACAGTGTGGCTGTGTCAGGGCCTCACTCCTCTTCGTGGCTGCGTCATATTCCATGGGTGGACCACACGGTGTGGATCCATCATCCGCTAATGGACACTTGGGTTGTTTTCCCCTTTCGGCTACTCTGAATCGTGCTGCTGTGAACACGCGTGGACACGTTTTGGTCTGAACACGTGTTCACAGTGAGCGTGTATTCTTAGGTGTGTCTGCGTACCTCAAGTTGACAATCTAGAAACAGCAGCGCCCACTAAGGATATAACCCCCGTCCCGCCGTGTGCCCAGCGTGGCAGCCGCTGGCCACGTGTGACTGTTGAAATGTGGCTCGTCTGAACCAAGATCTGAGTGCTCTGGGTGCAAAATGCACACCAGATCTCAAAGACTCAGTCCAGAAAAAGAATGTGAGCTATCTCAATAGCTTTTCTCCAAGTTATCTATTGAAATACTTTGGATAGAGTGTGTTAAATAATTAAAATTATTTTCAACTATTTCTTTTTCAGATCATATATGTGGCTCACATTATATCTCTGTTGGAAATAGGAATTAACTTTTAAGGAGTGAAGCCCTTTCCTGCCCCCTTCTGCCCCCTAAAATGACCCCAAGGGGGTATCTGGGGTGGAAGGAGGGAGGGAGGGACGTGGCTGCTTCTGACGGCTGCACGTGGCGAATCCTGCCTAGAACTTGCCAATAATCCTGTTAGGGGTCTCCCTCCCGCCCCGGGCCCCACCTTCTCGCAGCACGACGCGCTCGTACGGTGGGTAGTGACCCTGTTTGGTCAGGGCCGACAGGTCCTCTCGGCTCCGCTGGGTGGTCTTCTTGGCTCCCCGACGGAGACCCCGCAGCCGCCAGAACTCGGCCCGCGAGTTTGAGCCCGTGGAGGCGCCGGGCCCCGTCCCCAGGGCCCGCTGGGCCGCCTCCAGACTAGCCAGCTGCTCCGCCCTGGGGAGAGGGGACGAGGGGACTGAGCACTGGGGTCGGCAGAATAACGGTCCCTACGCTGTCCCCATCCTGGTCCCCAGACCTGTGGACGTGTCACCTCACACGGTAAAGGGACTTTGCAGATGGATTAAGTCAAGGCCCCTGAGATGGGGACGACCCTGGATCCCCAGGGGCCCAGGGTCATCACAGGGTCCCCATCAGAGGGAGGAGGAGGGTGAGAGGCAGAGAGAGATGGGAGACGCTGCGCTGCGGGCTGTGCAGACGGAGGAAGGGGCCCCGAGCCCAGGACGCGACCTCTAGAAGCTGGAAAAGGCAGGAGACACTTCTCCCCGGAGCCTCCGGGAGGACAGACCTGCCTGGACCTGGATTCAGGACTCCTGACCCCAGAACGTGAGATGACGAATGTGCTGTCTGAAGCCACTACGTCTGTGGGGACGTTTCCAGCACCGCCTTGAGCCTCTGCTCGCCTTGCGGTCAGCCACCCACACCGCTAAGGAGGGACCCCACGCCCGTGCCCGGCGGTGACAGAGGCGGGCGCAGTCCCCACCTGGCCTGGTTGGGGATGATGCCGCGCTCCTGCTCCCGGAGGTCCCGGCCCACGCGCGCCGCCAGCCAGTGGCCCCCGCGGGCGAGGCTGTGCGCGGGGCCCGGGGGCAGCGTGTCCAGCACGTGGAAGATGTCGCCGCGCGTGAAGCCCAGGCCGGCCGGCGGGCTGGCCTCCAGCTCGAAGTGGGTGCGGATGTAGAAGGAGTCGCCCACGCCGGACTGCACCATCTTCCGGAAGACTGGGGGCACGGGGGGCTCCGTGAGCCGGCTGGGGTGCCGCCCCGACCCCCCGCGGGATCCCCTGCGCCCGGGCCCCCCGGCTCCCCGACTCACGATCCTGCTTCCGCTGTGTCACCAGCTGAACCTCCTCGCCCGGCGGCAGCCCCAGCAAGAACTGCACGGCCTCCTCCCGGGTCAGGTTCCGGAAGGGGGTGTCATTCACCTGCCGGGAAGGGAGTCTGGGTGGGACGCAGCTCGGGACACGCCCCCCGCCAGGCACAGACCCCAAATCTCCCTCTGGACAAAGCCCACCCCAACCGCTGCTGTCGGGGCCCCGGCGAGGGGACATGGCTCTCCAGTCGGGGCGCCCCCCCCCCCCACCGTGGCAGCCCGGGCAGCACAGACTGGCGAGGTCCCAGCCCCGAAATCAACACGGGAACGGCCACCCACACGCGGAGAACAGAGGGGCGCTGGGTTGTCAATATCAACCAGTGGGGACAGGGGACACAGCTGTGACAGGATGACGCTGGTCGAAATTTCGTGGCACTTAAGAGTCAGGACACGGTCGCATCCATGAGGAGATCATAAGGTGACCGTGGTGGGGACGATCGTGGAGGTACTTAAGACGCCATGAACGAGGCCGTGGCACGGAAAGGGACTGGCGGGGGACGTGGCCTTTGTGGGAGAGTAAGTGTGGCCATGGCTCGGACAACGTGGGCCGGACACGGTCAATGCAGCCGTGACACGACAAGGAGATGGTGACAGTGAGAACAAGGCTGTGACATGGACGAGGTCATGACACAGGCAGGGAGGCATCAAAATGTCCCAACGTCTGTGGGGTCCGGCCAGTCCCCGGGTGGACCCGGGGGAGGAGGCACGGGCCGTGGGAGACGCGGGGTCCCACCCGGCACGCCCGCCACCAGCCGCCCCGGTCACCTGCAGGATCTCGTCCCCCTCCTGGAGGCCCTGCCCGTCGGCCGGGCTGCCTGCCTGCACGCCCGACACGAAGATGCCCACGTCGTTGCCCCCGGCCAGCCGCAGCCCGATGCTCGTGCCCTTGAAGAAGCGGACCACCCGCGAGTCGGGGCTGTACCTGCGAGGGGAGGCCGACACGGGGCCCCGGGCCTCAGTTTCCCAAACGGCCCCCCATGGTGGTCCCATCCGCACGCTGTGGGGGAGACGGGATTATGGTGACACGGGGGTGTCGAGCGGTGGGCTTTTTAGGGGGCACGTACCCGTGGTCCTCCACGCTCTGCACGCTCGGCACCCTGTAGATGTCATAGCTGCGTTGCCCGGGCGAGTCTGAAAGGGAACAGCGGTCTGTCGCCTGCGCACTGGCCAGTCCGGCCACTGAATCCTTGCTGTAGGGTGTCCCTGCCCCGTGGAGGGCTGTCACCCAGTCCACACTCCTGCCCAGGGAATTGCCCCTGATGTCTCAGGCCCATGGCAACCTTTCCTGCTCTGCCTGGAACAACCTCACCGGCAGGGATCAGAAAAATCAGAGGGGTGCTCAGAGTCACCACCCACCTGCCCTCCGCTCACCTGGTTCTGAGGCGGTTTTGGAATCCACCGAACTCCTCCGCCGAAGCCGGGGGCTCTCCCTGGTGGGAAGCAGATTTGGGGTGGGGCGGGTGTTAGAATTTTCATTTCTCTGCGCTCAGATTCAAATCGTGGCTCTGCCCCTTCCTGGCTGTGTGACCCCGGGCCCATTGCTCTCCCTCTCTGAGCCTCAGTTGCCTCCTCTGAGTCCTGGGGATGGCTGGGTCAGGTCAAGGCTTCCTTTGGGGCTGGCTCGAAAGCAGATGAGCCGGCTACAAATGGTCACGTTTATTATTTTCATATTAGCGAAAAGTGATAGAGGATGCTGTGGACTGAAGGTCTGTCCCCCCAAAAATTCCTGTTGAAGCCCTAACCCCAGTGGGATGGTGTTTGGGGGTGGGGCCCTTGGGAGGTGACTAGGGTTGGATGAGGTCACGAGGGTGGGTCCCCAGGACAGGATTAGCGTCCTTATAAGATGAAACACCAGCGCTCTCTCTCTCTCCCCCCACCGTGAGGCCGGGAAGGGAGCTGTCTCCAGGACCCGACCATCCTGGCACCTTGATCGTGGACTCCCAGCCTCCAGAACTGTGACGAATGAGTGTCTGTGGGCTCAGCCCCCCAGTCCACAGTATTTAGTTATAGCAGCCTGAGTCGACTAAGACAGTCAAACCCATGAAGAAAAACTGTCACTTGCAAAACCAGCCCGCTGTGAGCACGCACGAGTTCCTTTCCAGACCTTTCTCAGACGCTTTCTTTTTTTTTTTTTTTTTTTTTAAAGATTTTTTATTTATTTTTTGCCCCCAAAGCCCCAGTAGATAGTTGTATGTCACAGCTGCACATCCTTCTAGTTGCTGCATGTGGGACTCGGCCTCAGGCTGGACAGAGAAGTGGTGCCTCGATGCGCACCCGGGATCCGAACCCGGGCCACCAGCATCGCAGCGCGCGCACTTAACCACCAAGCCACAGGGCCGGCCCTCAGACGCTTTCAAATAAACGTGTGGGGAAATATATGCTTTTGAAAGAAAATTGACATCAGGTCTGTTAGCATTTCTGACGTTCATGCCAGAGTCCCCCAAACCCTTTGAGAAATGTCACCCTGTGTCCTCCTGCAGGCTGGTTCATTCACCCCACACGACACCATAAATTTCTGTTGTTCTGAGCCAACCAGTTTGTGGGACTCTGTGACGACAGCCCCCAGAGACTAATTCAAGGTAACTACCAATTTTTTTTTCCCTTTCATCAACGTCATCCTAATGAACGAGCATCCTCCGATCCCTGCACACGTCCACGGCTCTTCTGCCCCCAAGAGAAATCCCTAAAAGGCAGCCTGGCTGGGTCAAAGGGCTTATGCATTTTGAAGTCTTCTAGAATGTACTGGAAAATTCACTTCCTTCTGCTATAAGTTGATCCATATCTGGTTCTCCCTGTACCCAGAACCCAGAGCCACCTACTGGGAGCAAGAAGGACTGTGTGTGGACAGGGGAGGCCTCTTCCAGGCAGGCCGCCAGGACTGCACCCTCAAGGCTACCCCCAGCTGGAAAAGGTATGCCCTGTCCCCCTCCCGCCCAACTATCCCGGCCGACGGGGGTACATACGCGGGGGAGTTGGATCGGCTGGTGTCCGGACTCCGCTGCCCATGCCGGGGCGGTGGTGGGACGTGGGCTGGTGGCACCTCTGAGCCGAGTTCTGAGATGTCTGCGGGGGAGAAGGTGTCCCATCAGCCATGGTCACGCCTTCCAGGCTGGACCCATTTGCCGGAGGGGAACATCAAGGCCCCTCGAAGCAAAGGGGCCTGGACCAGCCCTGATGTGCTGTGTGGCCTTGGGCAAGTTTCTGTCCCTCTCTGAGCCTCGAAAAGCCAGACTCCTGCTTGGCCCTGCCTGGCGCTCCCCGCCTCCCCCCGCCCTCCATTCAGCCCCCCAGGGCCTGCCTCCTGGTCCCTCACCATCCATGAGGGAGGCGTCGCTGTCGCTGACGGCCGGCGGGATGTTCACCAGGAACTGTCCCTGGTCCCTGAGCACCAGCAGAGTCAGCTTCCCCTCCGACTTCTCGATCAGCCGCCGCGTGTCGCTCAGCGACAGATTCTCACTGGACACCCCGTTGATCTAAAAGGGACCGGGAAGGAAGAGAGGAGGTGAGTTAATGAGAGATGGGGGATACTAGAAACCGACAGTTTGGTGGGGGGACTAGAAACACACAATCCTCGGGGGTCACTGAAAACCGACATTCTTATGAGAAAATGATAGAATTGGCTTCCTGCCATGAGAAGAGACTACGCCAAGAACTGAATTCCACAAGAATTCTAGAAACAATTTTCTAAGAGGGATGGGAGACATTAGGAAAAATTAGAAACGGGTTGGCTCTCCCATCCCCCTAGAGGGGGAAATTTCCCAGGAGACACTCGAACAGATGTGAGAAACAACTCTCATCGGGGAAGCAGGGCGGATACTTACAGAGACTGGAAACAGACTTCTAGAGGCGCATTAGAAACACAGTTTCTAGGGAGGACTTGATGTCATCTCCACTCACGCTGGGAATCCCTTTCTAACATTTTCCCTCGGGAGTGTCTGTTTCCAGTAACCCCGGGGGTTGTGAGTTTCTAGTCCCCCCACCAAACTATCTGTTTCTAGTGTCAGCCCCAAACCACTAGAAACAGACAATTCCTCAGGGTCACTAGAGACAGATAACTCCAAGGAGACTCTAGAAACGATCAACTGGAAGTGGGTTGGAAACCAAACACAAGGAATCACTAGAAACAGATTTTCAGGCAAAGCGGTTCCTCTAAGCCTGGTCTCTGGACCATTAACATCCACCCACCTAGGGCAGGTCTGGGAATCAGCGCCGTAGCCAGCTGGCCAGGTGATTCTGAGGATACTAGAAACAGACCACCCAAAGGGGGTACTAGAAACTGACATTTGGCAGTGGATTAGCAGGAGATGGGAGGAAGGGGGTGGAATCCTGCATAGCCATCTCCAACCTTTGGGAAACAGGCGACAATGCATTTGGGGCCAGCTCTGCTGACCGTGCCATGTGACTCAGTCACACTGTCCCCCTCCAGTCTCGGTCTCCCCACCCCGCCCCTGGCAGGAAGCCTGGGCTCACCTGCAGGACGAGGTCCCCCTCCCGCAGCCCGCGGCTCTGCGCGGCCAGGCCGGAATCCGTGATGTGCTTGATGAAGATCTGACTGCCCAGTTTGACCCCGAACTCTGTGGGGGGAGGAGGGAAACTGAGGCAGGGCCTCTGGGGTCTGAGATCTCGGAGCTCAGCCCTCCCGCCTTCCGGGCCCCTGTCCTGCGGAAGGGTCAGGCTCGGCTCCCTCCAGGTCACACCGGGGGTGTCCCGACACCGACAATGAGGTGGGATTCTGATGTCACTACACAGAGGTCAGCGGCTGAGAAGGAGCAGCTCCCTGGTCCCCTCTTCCCGACACCCTGATGACATCACCCTCGGGGCCCCGATGTCACAGCCCTGACACCCCTCACGCCATCACGGTTAGAGTTTTCGGGACGTGACTCTTGTTCTTAAAATTACGACGTGGGGAGCAGAAGTCCCAGTGGCACCTGTCACGTCTCGACCAGAACCCTAAGGTCCTGGGGCTGCCACCAAATCGAGACTCGGGTCGGAGGTCACGTCCCCGTTATTGGTGTCAAAAAGGGAATGCTAATACGGTGACACCCTCCTGATGTCACCACGTGTGAGTTTCCGGGGGCCGCTGTCACAAACGGCCACAAACCGAGTGGCTTTAAAACAACACGAGATTGTCATCTCTCTGTCCCGGAGGTCAGAGTCTGAGATGAGTCACATGGGGCTAAATTCCACATGTGGGCAGGGCTGGTCCCTCTGGAGGCTCCAGAGAGAACCTCTTCCTGCCTTTTCCGGCTTCTAGAGGCCACGTCCTGGGCTCGGGGCCCCTTCCTCCATCTGCACAGCCCGCAGCGCAGCGTCTCCCGTCTCTCTCTGCCTCTGACCCTCCTCCTCCCTCTGATGAGGACCCTGTGATCACTCCACCCCAGCCATGCGGGCTTCTTGGATGTTCCTCCAACGCAACAGGCCTGCTCCTGCCCCAGGGCCTTTGCACATGCTGTGCCCTCTGCCTGGAACCCTGTTCCCTCAGATCTCCACGGGACTTGCTCCCTCACCTTCTTGTTCCAGCTCAAATGTCCCCTCCTTGGTGGCCCTCCTTAGACACCAGACCCCCAGGAATCCAGGGTCATCCCTCATCCCAGGGGCCTTGACTTAACCCATCTGCAAGGTCCCTTTACCGAGGTGCCACATCCACAGGGAAGCAGTGTGGCCCCTTTTCGGGGCCACCGAGCCCCGCCTCCCAGCAGGCCCGCCGGCAGCTCACCTTCGTTGTCCCTCCTCCGCACGAGCACCGACTTCACGGGCCTCATGCGCACGTCCTGCCGCGGGAGCCGCTTGAAGCCCGACACCAGGGCCAGCCCGTTGGCCTCGGACCCGCCACCCGGGCTCCTGCGCCCGTGGCTGCCGGCCCGGCTCCGGCGACCCGCCCTCGGCCGGCGGGAGCGCTCGCCCCAGGAGCGGCCCGAGCCACTGGACGTGTCCCCGTCGTAGCCCCGGCCGTGCTCGGCCTCCTCCAGCCGCCGCCGCCCATCCTCCTCGTCCGAGTCCTGCTGTCCCCCAGAGGGGCTGGCCCTGGTGGCGGGCAGCTGGACTTTCCGGGGACGCTTCACCGTCTGTTGGGGAGGCGGACGGGGGCAGCTCAAGGCTCTGCCCATCCACGGGTGGCCCTGGGGACATCAGCCCCCTCGGGCCTCAACGTCCAAGCTCTCCACAGGCAGCAGGACCCAGCGGGGACTGAGCTGGGGACAGACGTGACTTACAATATTGGCCACCTTGGCGCATGTCTTGAGTATCTGAATGGCGAAGGTGGAGGTCACGTTCTCCACGGAGACCCCGTTAACCATGACGATGTGGTCCCCTGTCCTGTGGGGGCGGCCGGGTCTCAGGGAGGAGGCCTCACACTGGAGCCCCCCCAGCATCCACCGTCAGGGTGGGCACCCCCAGGTCTACAAGGCCTGCTTCTAATCCCCCGGTGTCCCCAGGCTCACAAACACATTTCTCCTTCTAGGCCTCAGTTTCCCCATCTGTAAAATGGGACAGATCGTAGAACCCACTATAATAATAAAACACAACTGTAGAACGGAAGCCGTGATTCTGACTGGCGTCCCTGTACCCCCCTAGCTTCCTCTCGGGCCCTCTCTCCCTCTTTTCTCCCCCCTTTCCCCTGCCTTGTTTCATATTCTTTCTCTCTCTGACGCTGGTCCCCCGTTTGGGGCTGAGCCACGTCACCCATGAGCCACTCAGGACCCAGAACCATTTTCCCAACAGAACTCCCAGGAGTGTCCTCCCCCCAGGGCTCAGAACACGGGCTCTCCTTCCCTCTGGCCAAAAAGAGGTTTCCAGGACTTTCTGTTCCCGCAGCACCCTGGGGCCACTACGATCCCAAGAACCCCAGGACCAGGAAGATCCTTGGAGAGAGCGAAGGCCACACGGCTGACTCTGCCCTGCCGCCGGCTCCCAGCCGTGTTGACAGAGCTGGAAGGTGCCAGGCACGGCGCAGCCTCCAGGCTCCGGCCCCCAGGTCCCTCCTCCTGCCACGCCCCCCCACCCCACCCCGGGCACTCACTGCAGCCTGCCCTCGGCCGGCCCTCCGGGCACCACGTCGGACACAACCACGGGGCCACCGGGCCGGTCTCGGCCACCAGAGATCGCAATGCCGAAGCCCCGGCGGGGGTCCTGAGGGGGCGAGAGACGGGATGAGCGTCTGCTCCCCCCGGGGACGAAGGTTCTCGCATCCTGCTGAGCCAGCTGGACCGGGCCGCCCGCACAGGGGGAGGAGGCCTCACCTTGCTGAGCGTGGTCGTGTGCTGTTCCCAGATGATCAGCTCCTCCATGTCCAAGACCTGGCAGGAGGGGACAGGAGGGGGTGTGAGGCCACGGCACGTCCGTGGGGGCATTCGGGGGCCCAGCCCTGGGCACAGAGCCCGGCTCTGCCAAGCTGCTACCTCTCTTGAGATCTCAAGTTTTTCATCTGTGCAAAGGATCTAAGTCAGTGGTTCTCAACTGAGGATCGTTCTGCACCCAGGGGACACTGGGCCATGTCTGGGGACGTCTGTGGTTGTCATGACCGGGGGTGCTCCTGGCATCCAGTGGGTGGGGCCAGGGATGCTGCTCGACCCCCCACAGCGCCCAGGACGGCCCCGCCAACAGAGAGTGAGTGACCTGGCCCCAAATGTTGAAAGTGCCAAAGCTGAGAAATCCTGGTTTAGATGAACCAAACTGGAGTGGGAGCGGAGGAAAGGCGAGTTCTTGCCCCTTTCCCTCTGGAAGGTCTGGCTCAGGCCTTGGGGCATCTAGCCAGGCCCGCAGGCAGAGGGAGCTCACTGCACCCCAGCCACGCAGGCTCCTCGCTGTTCCTCCAACACACAGGCCCGGTCCTGCCCCAGGGCCTTTGCACAGCTCTGCCCTCTGCCTGGAACCCTGTTCCCTCAGAAATCCACCGGACTCGCTCCCGCCTCCTTCCAGCTCAAACGTCCCCTCCTTGGTGAAGTCGCCCTGACTGCCCTCGCCCTGTTTAGAACTGTAATCCCCTCCCTCCCCCAACAGACCCCCTCTCCCCCTTTCCATCTACACTGTCCCGTTTCACAGAACTTGTGACCCCTTCACATCCTCTAGGTTTTTAAAGTTGGTTCACCGTCCGTCTTCCCTCAAGAATCTCAGCTCCAGAGAGGACAGACTTCTGTCTGTCTCGCTAGGTCAAGTCCTGAGTGCCCAGAACAGAGCAGGGAGTCAATAACTATCCCCTGGGTGAAGGAATGAATGAATGAAGTGCTTCATTTGTGCCAGGCCCTCTACATGTACTATCTCATTTAGTCCACTAATTCACAGGGGCTTTCTACCATCCCCACCGCACAGATGAGGAATCTGAGGCCCAGAGCCGGGTCACTCACCAGGACGGGAGAGTTGGTGGCGGGAGGGGCTGGGGGACGTGGAGTCTGTTATTTTCATGCTCCGGGGAAATGAGATCTCAGGCCAGGTCACCCGGCCAGAGAACCTGGGGAGAGGGGGGGACGCGGAGACCCGGGGAGAGGGGGGGGACGCGGAGACCACGGGAGAGGGGGGGACGCGGAGACGCGGGGAGAGGGGGGGACGGGAGACCCGGGGAGAGGGGGGGACGCGGAGACCCGGGGAGAGGGGGGGACGCGGAGACCCGGGGAGAGGGGGGGACGCGGAGACCCGGGGAGAGGGGGGGACGGGAGACCCAGGGAGGGGGGGGACGGGAGACCCGGGGGGGGGACGGGAGACCCCGGGTGGGGGCTCATGGAGCCACGGGAAGCAGCCCCCCATCCGTTATCCCCTGCCGGGTGGGCTGCGCTGCACCCGGGGGCTTGCAGAAATGCCCCCTCCCAGGCCCGTGTCCCCGGCGGGGCGGGGCGTCCCGGGCCGAGCTCCGGTGCCTCCTCTTGCGGGCGCCCGTCCCTGTCCCCGGAGAGCAGCATTCCTGGCTCCCGGGCGCAGCGGCGGGAGGACAACAGGCCGAGGGCGGGGCAGCTCCCACACCGCCAACCCTCAGACCCTGCCTGCCCTCCGCCCGCCGCGGGGCCCTCTCCGGCCTCGGTTTCCCCATCTGTGAAATGGGCACTCCCCACCCCACTGCTGTCACCCTGTCTTGCAGGAGGGAAGCATGGAGTCGGTGCATGACAAGCGGAGCAGACGCGCCCTCGAGACTCGGCCGTTGTTGTTGTCAGAAGTAACAATAATGACTTTCCTCCGAGCAATATCAAGGAGCACGTCTGCTCCGTGCAGGCTGCCGGCGCGCGCCTGCAAACCCACTCCTGTGATCCCCAGCGACCTCAGGAAGCGGCCCCGCTCCTGTTCCCGCCTTACAGGGGAGAAAGCGAGGCCCAGAGAGGTTCAGTCACTTGCCTGAGGCCACACAGCACAATGCGAACCCTGGCAGCCCGCCCCACACCCTCGCTCTTAACCACCGGCCACAGCAGCCTTCTCATTTCTTTTTCTTCTTGTTTTTCAAAACAGAGTCCTTTTTACTTGCTTTGATTTTACACTTTGTGTTGTTAAGTGGCCTCCAGGAATTTTAATTTCTTGGCTTTATTTTAAGAAACAGCCTCCAGGGAACCAGGGCCCCTGGGGAGGGCGCAGGTGGCCCAGGCTTGTCCTAGCCTGTGGAAGTTGGCCTCCGTGGATACCGGAGGCCCCTCCAGGACCCCCCCACACCCGCGGGGTCCAGCCTGACCCCGCAGCCCTCCTCGGATTCGCTCCAGCCAGACCTCCGCCCTGGCTGTCCCCTGTGTCTGGGACACCCTCCCAGGACCTCCCACCCCGGTCTCAGCTCAAATGCTGCGTCCTCAGGGGGCCCTCCTTGGCTTGCTAATCTTCCCTGGCACCCTATCACTCATTTCTGTTTTATTTATTACGTTTTATTCTCGGCACCTGAAACTACATTAAATTGTCCTGTTTAATCATCCGTTTGCGAGTTTCTGGTCTTCCCTCCTGGGGTGTGAGGGCTGGGCGGGGCTGCCTCTCTGGGTACTGTGGTGATGGCCTGGGCACCTCCTGGGCCCTCCTTTTCAGGCCTTTGCATACGCTGTCCTCCCTGGCAAACTCCTATTCATCCTTCAAAGCCCCAGGGCCACTGTCTCTTCCTCCAGGAAATGAGTCCTCAACGCCCCCATACACACAGCTTACGTCCCTGATTACTGGGGCCTGGGATGTCCCAGCCCACCTGTCTCCCCTGCACTCCTGCAGTCTGGGGGCCCCTGGTGGACCCCAGCATTGTCCCCACGGGACCAGCGAGGGGACAGACTTTGAGAAATGGGGGAATAAAAGGCAGATTGGGCCAGGAACTCAACCAGGTGTGTCCAGAGTTCCCAGCCCCTCAGCCAGACCCGTCCAGGTGAGCTCCGAGGGGGCGGGGCCTGGGCCTGCATCCCCGCCCCCCCCATGCACCAGACACGCGTCCAGAGGGGACAGGTCGTGTCCACAGGGGACGGGTCCCAAGTCACAGAGCCCCAGGCGCGGCTGCCAGGCCGCTGTCCACTGTCCCCTCCCCCCCACCGCGGGGAACAATGGAAGGGGAGGGGCCGCAAATCCCAGAGCTGGGCAGGGGATCTGGGGCTGCTCCTGGCTGCCTGGGAGGAGGGGAAGGAACCAGGACTGCCGGGCCCTAGAGCCTCGGATGGTGTGGCCTGGGGCAAGCCCCACACCCTCTCGGCCTCAGTTTACCCCTCCCGAGGCCGACCTGAGAGCCAGTCCAGTGTGAGTCACTTCAAGCTCCATCCTTGGAGGGTGATGTCCCCCCAAACAGAGACACAGGGCTCTCCTCCCCCCAGCCCGGCCGGTGTGCTCGACCCCTGTCTCTGCCCAGTAATGCACGAGAACGGCTCTGTATACAGTAAGCGCCCGATAAATGCTCCCCTGTCCCGCAGCCTCGCCGCATTCACAAAGCCACTTCAGCCCACAGAGGAAGTCACCGCCTACTGTCCTATTAGTGCCCAAGCTGAACTCGGCCGAGAACCCCTGGGAACAGGCGTGAACACATTTATTAGGCGCCTACTACATGCCAGGCGCTCAGAACACACTTTCCTCTTAGAATCCTCCCTGCGCCCTTCTTGGAAATGACGATCTCCCAGTTTACAGATAAGGGACGGAGAGGCGTGGACCCACTGGCCCAAAGTTACACAGAACAATCCAGATTTCAACCCAGGGCTACCGGGTAACTCTGGGGCAGAGGAAGCCCCCCGAGGCAGCTTTTGGAGGCCGGCGGCTGCTGTGCAGCCTCGGGCTAGCCACTGCATTCTCTGGGCCTCAGTTTCCCCATCTGTTAGGCGGGCAGAGGGTGGTCTGCGGGTCCTGGATCCGGGCCCCAGCCCCCACCCCAATCCGATCCCCTCCCCCTCCCGCCCTCGGCGGGCTACTCGCCTGGAATCTCACCGCCATGGTCCACCCCGGGGCTCTCCAGCGCCCCTGCCCCGGGGGGGGCCTGGAAACAGTCAATCGGTCCCCACCCCGGGTGAGGGAGGAGGCTGGGGAGGGTCCCGGCGGAGTGGGAGCCCCGCTCTCGCCCTCCTCCCGCCCGCTGGGCCGCTCCGGGCTGCACCTGCCCGTCTTCCTCCTTCGCGTCCCTTGGCGGCCCCGCCCCCGGCGCGACACGCCCTCGGGGCGCCGCCAGGCCGCCTTCGCCCCCCCTCCCAGCGCGGGATCCAGGCCCCGGGGCGGGAATGCCAGGCCGGGTTTTCCACCCAGCCGGGCGCCCGCCGGCGGCCGGGGCTGGAGCCCGGCCAGACAAGGCTGCCAGGAAGACCCGGCGGGGATCGCGGCCGCGCTCGGAACGGAGCCTACGGTTCTGGGGGTCTTGCTTCCAGCCCCGAAACCCGCACTTTTCGAGGTTCGGTCGGAAGCCCTATGGGTCACGAGCCAGTCGAGGGCCAGAGACCTCCGGAGCATAGGGCTGGTCCTCTTCGGGTCACCCCGTGTCCAAGAGGTTGAGTCCATTTCACAGAAGGGCAACTGAGGCCCAGAGAGGCCAGAGGCACGAACTTCCTCAAGAGGCACAGCTGCGGCCCCCGGGGCCTGGCCCGAAACCCAGCGCGGGGCTGGGCCCCCGGGGGCGGAGGGCGGGGCGGGGCCCAAGGCGAGCCTCAGGCTCCCGGGGGTAAAGGTCAGGCTTCCTCTCCTCACCCGGCCCCACCCTCAGAGGCCAGGGGTATTACCTGGAGGGACAAAGTCACCTGGGTGGGTGGAGCTGGCGGTGGCTCCACCCACATTCCTCTGGCTTAAAAAACAAAAAAACACCCTGCCGCCCAGCTGTTCCTGTGCCCCAAGGTTGAAGGGGTAAATCTGGGCATAAACACCCCTTCCCAGCCTCATCCAGTCAAGGCTGGGCAGAGAGGAACTCCAGGCTGTAGGAAGTGGGGAGGCAGAGAGGAAACTGGGGGATCAGGGAAGGCTTCCTGGAGGAGGGGGCATTGCAGCTGGGGTTTTGAAGGTTGGGTAAGAGTTTGCCAAGCAAACAAGGCAGACAATGTAATCAAAGACTTTAAGCCCCTTATAGCTGACTTCTTACCCCTCCTCACCCCAGTTCTCCCAAAAACACAAGTCCAGAGACGCCCGTCAGCTGGAATCGGCCCCTCAAGGCCCCCCAAAGCAATAACCCTTTGAGGAAGCCCCTTCTGAGGACCTACTTGAAACTTCAGGGCTGGAAGGGTTCTAATCGCATCTCTCTCACCTATTTGCTGTGCGACCTCAGGCAAGTCACTTCCCGTCTCTGTGCACCAGTTAGCCCCCTGGTCACAGAGTGGATGTCAATGTGATCCACTGCCATGTTCAGCTGTGTGATCTTGTGGAAGCCACTTGACTGCTCTGTGCCTCAGTTTCCCCATCTGTAGATGGGGATAATAACAGTACCCGCGTCAAAGGATTAATGGGTGAACACGCATTAGATGCTCAGGAAGCCCCCGTGCTGGCCCACATGGCAACACCATTAACCAAAAGCAAGGCTCGCTGGGCGCCTACTGTTTACCCACGGCAGCTTGGCCTTTCCCAGCGAGCCGTTCGGCCCCCGGCAGGCGGCACAGAGAATTTTAGGCAGAACAGGGTCAAACAATTTTTAAATCGCTGTGCATTTGCTTCCAGGAATCCTGGGGAAAACGCACCTGCGCACACGCGGGGGGGGCGTGTCTGTGGTTGCTCGGGAGGAGTTACCAATTGGGACAAAAGTCGCAACATCGGACAGGTGGCCTGCAGGTGACCGAAGCTGGGGCGACATCCTGAATTCCTGCCCCCAAGGCCACCGGACTGCAGTGTCACTGTCTATAGGGTAAGTCCGTGGGACTTGTGGGAGTGAGGTTCCCGTTTATGGAGTGTGTGCTGCCCTCCGGCCTTGGGGACATGTGACATTCATGAGCCCATTTGGCAGCTTAGAAAACTGAGGCCAGAGGGGCCGACGGCAGGACTGACCAGCAGGAGCTGGGTTAACCCCACCCCTTCCGTTCTCTACCAGTGCTTCTTATTGGGGGGTGACTGCCCCCAGGGGACACTGGTGACGTCTGGGGACATCTGTGGTTGTCACACTGGGGGTGCTCCTGGTATCGAGTGGGTGGGGCCAGGGATGCTGCTCCACACCCCACGGCGCCCAGGACGGCCCCACAGAGAGGGACCCGGCCCGATGTCCACAGCACCGAGGGGGAGAAACCCCACGCTAAACCCCAGTAAGAAACCCCAGGAGGCGGGTCTTGCCCCAGCCCCCACTGCTCTGTCCTCACATGTTCGTGCCCCGCTCAAGAGCACTCCGTGGCTCCCTAGTACCCATGGGCCGACCTCAGACGCAGGGCTTTGGAGAGGGGCGCGGCCGGGGCTGCCCCACAGCCGGAGGCGCTGCCCTTCGTGCGTCCACTTTCCCGTCTCTTCGGTCGGTCACTCAACAGAAAGGTTTCAAGCCCCCGCTTTGCGCCAAGAACAAAAACAGAGGCGACGGGGACGGACTGCCCGCCTGCACCTGCAGCGCCGGCTGCGGCCAGGAGGGGGCAGCGCGGGCGCGGCCTGAGGGGGAGCGGGTGCTGGGGAAGGGGGGTTCCCGGAAGTGCCCCTGGGGTGACCCTGCTCTGCCCCTTCTGAGCGCCTGTGGGGAAACTGAGGCCCGGAGAGGACAGGGGCGGGGCTGAGGTCACGCAGGGGCCTTGGGGTCCGGCTGGTGGGGGCTGCTCTGCTGAGGTCACACCTGCGGCCTAACAGGTCTGACCGGAACCTACGAATGCCCTGAAGCAGTTCTGCCGCCTGGCTGGGCTCTGGCGGACTCATTCAGCATTTACTGGGCGCCTAGTGTGTACACACGGGACTGACAGACCCAGTCCTCGTCCTAACGGGAGTCCGGGGTCCCCAGGGGAGCCAGACAATAACCGAATCATCATCACGCGACGTGAGTAAAAAGGACGACCTGAGAGCATCCCCAGGGAGACGCACCTGGGCTGGGGGCTCAGGAAGGCCTTCCCCTAGGAGGTGGCACTCGAGGTGAGAGCTGGGTTTAGTAGGAGTGACCCAGGTGACAGGGATCTGGGCAGAGGGAGCAGTTAGACCTGAAGGAGAGGTGACGGGGGAGCCATGGGGAGATCCGGGGGTTCCAGGGGAAGTAAACAGCCCGTGCAAAGGCCCTGGGGTAGGACCAGGCTGACGGTTACAGGAACAGCGAGGAGCCCGAGCCCGTGTGGCTGGAGCAGAGGGAGGAGGGGGAGAGAGGGAGGAGGGAGGGCAGGGAGGGGACGGGGCAGGTCCAGCAGGGCCTGGGGGGTTGCGGGGAGGACGTGGGCTTCTCCCGGAGGGAGGAGGAAGCCCTGGAGGGCTGTGGGCAGAGGAGGGGGACCTGACTCAGGGCTCACGGTTGCCCTCTGGTGGGGGCTGCGGGGAGGACAGACTGTGGGGACCGGGGCAGAGGACAGGGTCGAGGTCAGGGCTTCCGTAGGATGCCCCCACTTCGAGGGGCGCTTTCCTTGGGCCGGACTGGGGTTCTGGGTCCGAGGAGAGCGTGCGGAGCGCGTGCGCCAGCAGCGGGGAGAAGCAGGAGGCTGGGGTTCAGGAAGCGCGGTCTCCAGGCGCAGCAGGCTCGGCACACGAAGGTGAATTATGGGGTCCCCAGGGCTGGAGGGGGACCCCCTGGAAACTGGGGGCCTGTCGACTGTGCAGCCGCTGGGGGCAGGCCCCGGACCCCCACACCTTTCTCACAATCCCTGTTTTCAGTCCTGCCTCCGCCCCTGCACCCCAGGCTGGCTCCCCCCAACCACCCCCCATTAAATGTCCCCCGTTTCCCCCACGTTGCCAGTCCGTATCTGCTTTGTGGCCGAGCCCGCCACACCCTGGAGTCTCTCCGTCTCGAGTACACGGCACCGGTCTTTCTATCTGTTTAGAATCTTAGGTGAGCTATTTATTCATTTATCCAGCACCTACTGCATACCAGGCGCTGTTCTGGGCGCTGGGGAGACTGCAGCGTAAAGCCTGCAGACCAGCCAGGAGAAGAGACAGCTGACCAACAGTGCCGCCAAGGCACGTGCAGTTGATAAGCTGTGGCTTCAGCTCAAGAACATTCCATGGCTCCCTAGTATTCATTCAAGGCGCATTTACGGAGGGAGATGCCAGGCCCTGGCTACCGTCTTAAGTTTTCTGAGCTTCTCGTCACCTTGGCACTATTTTCCAGCCCGTGGGTTGTAGGAAAGTGGTGGCAGTGCAGATGACTCTCGTCCACAGAGATGCAAAGGGACTGTGTCCCATCGGTTAGTGCTCTGTGGCTATTGACCAGTTTCGCATCGATTTGTGAATGCATTTCAGCATTTTTGATGCCTCTGGGTGTGTCTGTTCTTTTTTAATATCCTCCTTTCAACTGTCTGTAAAATCTTACTGTTCCTGTGTGAATTAGTGAGTTCAGTAAACTCACGAAGCACCTGTTTGTTTTATATTATGTGAGAGTCATGGTTTTTCCGTTTTGAGGAAAAAAATTATCCTTTAACGTCCTGACACCGAAAGGCTTCCCTCGGCATTCAAGGCTCCCTCCCTGGGAGGTTTCCGCCCGCCCCCACCTGTCCCTCTCACCTGGTGCAGTCTTCAAGCCCCGGAACCTTCTTCCCACTTTTCTTCCTCGTCACCCTGGACCCCGATTTGTCTCTCGTGCATCAGCGAAAGCTGTTGGTTCTGCCAAGATTTTTCCAGAATCTGCCCACTTCTCCCAGCTCCTCTGCCCCCACCTGGTCCGTCCCATGGTCACCCAGCTGGACCATGGTCCCCACAGTCCATCCTCCCTGCAGCCCCACCAGAGGGCGCCTGGGAGCCCCTGAGTCAGGTCCCCCCTCCTCTGCCCACAGCCTTGCAGGGCTCCCCCTCCCTCTGGGGAGAAGCCCACGTCCTCCCCGTGCACCCCCAGACCCCGCACGACCTACCCCGTGGCCCCCCTGCCCTCCCTCCTCCCTCTCTCCCCCTCGCTCACTCTGCTCCAGCCACTCGGGCCTCCTCGCTGTTCCTCCAACCCGCCCGGCCCGGTCCTGCCCCAGGGCCTTTGCACAGGCTGTGCCCTCTGTCTGGAACACTCTTCCCCAAATTACGCACT